GTACCGCAATACGCGCTGTCCTTGCATCGCAACGAAGGTTTTACGGGACGGCATATGTCACGACTTGGTGTGCGATGTCAATATACAATAAGAAACTTGCGATGTAATTTTTTCACGTCATCGATTCACACATTTGCAAGTTGCAGCTGCATACGATCATCACTTGTGTTGAGGTATCGACTGTAGCCACGAAGGGAGATACAACAAGAAAACAAGAGAACTACCACTCTTTGATCGACTATATTGCAACATACAACTAGCACCTAAGTTAAATTGACAATAATACACAGTAAAAACATACATTATGAGGAAGTGTCATTGTTTACCTGTTGATAGAGTTTAGTCTATAACTAAAAGATATAATGTACGGTCCACTATAATATCTCATACATATTTCATGCAACTTCGCTGGATCTAAAGAATTTTCTCGAGAGTTTTCTTTAAATTGAAATTCTGAAATTTTTTGTTAAGAAAAATATTTTTATTGACAGAACTCAGATTAGCATACATAACTGCAAGCTACTCAGTTGCAAAAATCACTTGGTTAACTTTGTGCAAATATTTGAGGAGCTTTGAGATTGCATCATTAATAAAGGAATAACATACTCTGTACCTCCCATTGCGTTCGTAATAATTTTTTATGGTACGTAGATGGTCTACTATACCGCTAAGAACTGCTCAAAATCATGGCAATCCTTAAAATTTAAAGTTTAAACGCCCGTATCTTCGTGAATAGTAAGGATATCGCAAAATAAGCAATAATTTTTTATTTTTTATTTGGGCATACCGTTTCCTGGCCATTAATGGGAGAATTATTTCAACAACTCAAATATGATGTATTGTTATCAAGAAGTTATAGTTATGGAATTTTTTCATACAGTAACAAAGTGTAAGTTTAACAATAGCAGGTAAATAATTTTTATGTTTAATTTGGGAACTTTTTGATTTACTACGGTCTACTTTCAAAAAGTGCGTTTTAATAAACCAAAAATATAAAAAAATGAATAGTAAAAGAAACAAAATGTACAGTAACAGAAGTAAAAAAAGAAAAATAAAAATTAATGAGTCATAAAATTACAATTTTAAGAAAAACTTAACTTTTAATCGATATGTTTTGTTAATTATAATGAGCAAAAAATATTATTGTTCCGCATATTTCATTGTGGAATTAAAAAATGTTTATTTTGATTCCCTTAAGTTGTTACGAAAGTGTCTTATCAATACATATTAAAAAAAAAAATTTTTTTCAAGATGCACACTATTTCTTGGCTATGATAATACCTTGAAAGATATCTTTCAGTGCTTGCAATAAAAATAATCTCAAACAAAATTGTAGTAGCTCTTGGTACATAGATTTAAACATCTATTACATTTTTCTAGTCGCTTAGTTTTAGCGATTTTCACTGAAAAATATTCTAAGTCAAAATCAACATTAGTTACTTGTTGGCACACAAGGCTTTTACTGAGACCTCAGTATGGATAATTTCTCAATCAATACGAGGTTGGACCGTATCGTATTTTTTCAGTTAAATAGTACAAATAAGAGAAACGATCAGGCTAAAGAATAAAGTGACCATCTAAAATAATTTTAAAAATCCATGTAAACCTATGTACCTCGAATTTAGAATATCATTCACTTTTAAATTTTAACCAGGTGGAAAGAATGTCACAGCCCAAGGGTCACTCTGAATATTTTCGATTATAGCTTCGTTGCCGAAAAAAAAAAAAAAGAAAAAAACATTGAAAAACAAAAAAATCTGAAATCCGAAAAGCTATGTATACTATACAGTCACGTCGTGTAGCGATAGCACCAGACCACGCATTTATTCTAATGCACATCCATATAATACAAACACGAGAGAGTGAGACGAAGAGCTATGCAGGTATCCGCAAGCCCACGTATCCTCGGAATGCAAAGAGGTGCGGCAGGGCACTTCAAGGCTCGCCGTTCGGAAAAGATTTTGCATCTTTTTTCTCTCCCATCGCAACACGAAATATAAAAGGAAAATAAAAAAAATAAAAATAAACGCAAGAGATGTAACTCGTAGCGTTATAGCTGCAGGGAAGCTGCAGTGGCTCACGTTTACTAACGTAACGTGTCACGTAACGTCGCGAAAATAAAGTCCTACTACTCTATCCGCTTACACTGCAAGCTTGCAATGCCACCTGCGTACAGCCTTGACGATCTCTGCCACCTGCCATGTCGAGGATTCTACCACTACCACCACTTGACAGGAGCTACCACACCACCGAGAATGTACAAACAGGACCACCATCCCTGGACTCCTCCCCACGAGTATATATATTATGCCATGAGGAGAATTAATGGAGTGTGCGTGCCTGCCCCTACTCTCTTTCTCGCGGGCTGTAGGTGATTCGCACTCGTTAACCTCGAATTATGTGTTGCGCAACCGCTTCGTCTTTATTGTGAGGGGCCGTTTTGTTCGTTTTGCTGGCTCGCGAGCGACGATTTGCACGGCCATCTCTCACTCTGTCTTTTTATTTTTGCCCGATGAATCGTTGAAAAACGTTATTGTTGTTGTTTGCAAACTTTGGGGACCAAATAACATTTTTTTCCCTCTCAATCTTACATTCGCTTACCCGTGGTGCTTTTCGATCACAACCTTAGGCGCCTCAACGACGAACGAGTCCTCTTTTTTCCTCACTTTGATGCCGTGGTAGGAGACGATCGTCAAACCATCATCGATCGATGCCAAACTCGCCACACCCACTCTACCCGTTCTGCTTTCAGCCTTCATCATTCGCACTGGTCGGACTCAATTAAAAACACCCCTAAATCAATGAAGCTCTGAATGCTTTTTTTCTCTTTTTTTTTTTTTTTTTACTGTCACGCTCACAGCACGCAAAACCCAGAGCATCGCTGGTAGGTACTGGGAGACCGGTTTCCGCCGCACGCTCTTTTAAAACGTCCCGCTCTTCAATGCTCCAATTAAGCCACAGCTTTTGGGCGAGACTGTTGTATTCACGCGGTCACGCTACACGCGGCTCGTCAATGCGCTCCCACTCCCCCGCGGGCTCGTTATTCTCCTGATTATCCGCTTTAAATTGTCATTTTACGCCGCTGCATGGTCTGTTTCGTTAAAGCTGATTGCGAAGCATTATGGGTCCTTGTAGCGAAATTTTCGCTGACAGAAATGCTTTTTGGGCGATTTTTGCGGGTATTTAGCAGCTTAGGAGGTTTGGCCTCGAATTCGCGTTGGAAATTTCAATGAGCTTCGTTATAAAAATGTGCCGCATTTCACGGGCGCACGCGAGCTCAGCCGCTTGGCTTTCGCGTGCAAATGTAATTTCCACGTGCCTTTGAACTCAAAGTCGCAACAAAACAGTTAAGCACGTGAAAACGAAACTCTTACGTATACATGTGTATATAGGCATGCGCACACGGACGAGTGTGCGAGGAGAAGCAAAGAAGAAAGCGAGTCAAGAAGGTTTGGACGAGAAACGAATTCGCAACGAAGGAGACGAAGAGGTATTTCTCGGCTGGAAAAAGTCCATTGTCTCGGGAGTGGAGTGGAAAACTCGCAGGCCCCTCCTCTCTTCCCCCCTTGCTTTACAAGCAGCGACAAAGCGTGAGAGTTTCCTCTCATCTTGGAACTGCATGATATTGTACCGTATGTGTATGCTAGATTTTTTTACATGAGCTTGGCCTCAAGACTCAAGAGTGTGCTCGGGCGGTCGCGAAATTCGAGACTTGCGCCAATCTCTTTCCCCCGACTCCCTTCTCTCGCTTTTATATCTCTTCTATACACGCGAGAATTGCAAATTTTACGTGCGGAGGAGAAAAGTTGGAGAGCGGAACTTCACGAGGGGACGTTGGTGTTGTTGTACGTTCGCACGTAGAAGGCGTGTCGACAAATGAAATTGGGATGCCACCTGTGTTACCTGAAACTTTTCACTGGTGTTATCTATTTCAGTACAGTAAATTTTGTTAAAGTTACTTTGCGTCAGGCCCAATGATTTTTTTTTACTCATTTCGATGTTTTCTGAATGTTATTCGCACCAGGTGTTGTACTTCACTTGAACTCGTTATTATTAGTATTGCTGTATTCTTGTATTGTAATTATTATTTTTCTCCTGTTTTATTATTATACTATGCGATTTAGTAAAAGTTTTAAATTTGTTTTTCTTGTAGAGTACTTTAAAAAACTGAAGTTCGATTGGTTTCGTGAAACGTTTTTAGGCCAGCTTTAGCTAGAATTTCAATATAGGAATTTTAAGTTTACAAATGTTATTTTTACTTCTATCCTTTTTTAGAGGAACAAATTAATAGTTTTGATTTTCCTTGCAGTTTAAAGAAAGTGATATCAAAAAATTTTTTTTACTTACGTCTAGAAGAGTCACATAATCAACTAACTACTCCACGAATAAAACATTTTTTTTTTAACTTTCAAAAATCTCCAGAGCAAGAGAAAATTCGTGAGAGTTGGCTTTCTTGATATTTTATTACCAAATACTAATTTGATTACTTTTAGAATTTTTACAACATTTTATGACTGGTTATTTTTTAAATAAGCATTTAATCATTGTTTGTCTTTGAAAGCCAATATTCGCAGCTGCACGATCAACTTCCATGTTTTTTTTTTTCCTGTACATGTAAAACTTGCAGTAGTTGTAGTACGCCTTGCCAGTGAGATTATTTTAATAATACGCATCCACGTCTCAAACGATAACTGCATGAAAACTTGCCTCATAAGAAATGTTTTTTATCACAGTTCCAGCAACGGTTAAAAGGCCTGTGTGCTGTAGTTGGAGTTTTAGTACATTATATTTGTCAAACGGGAACATAGCTATATTCGACAGCAAGTTTTGTGATTTCGCTGTAGCGTTTGCCAATTTGAAAAAAAAAAAAAAAAAAAAAAAACAACTTATCATTCAGATGATAAACTTAATATTAGTTTAATATAATGCTTTTATCAGTATGCTCGTAAGATAATAATTTGACCTTTTGCATCGAGGGGAACGAGAGTTTAAGAACTCTTTTTTGTGATTTTTTCGCCAGTTTAATATCGAAGTGGTACGGAACCACTTGTTCTGGCTTTTTAAATACATTCAGTGATACATTAATTCAAGTATTGCGGATAAAACAAAATGACGTGGTCTCCTGCAAATGCGACAGGACAGTGTTTTCAAAATTTATTTGTGAATTCTTGCCAACCATCATTTTTGACTCTCTTAACTTTTTTAACTCAAAAGTTTAATGCTTCGAATGACGATGCATTTAGACAACGTGATACCAATATATTTTCAGAAGAATACGATTTTATTATTGTTGGTGCAGGAAGTGCTGGGTGTGTTTTAGCTAACCGTTTGAGTGAAATAAAAGAATGGAAGGTAATTAAAAATTTTGCTCTAAGATTTGCTATTAAATTTTTTTTGTCATTGCAAATCATTTTTTTTATAATATTTCAGATCCTTTTATTAGAAGCAGGAGATGAACAACCAATTATTTCAGAAGCTCCTGGCTACATTGGGCTATTAGCGAGTAGTAGCATGGATTATGATTACAAATTACAGCTTAATTCGAAAACAGAGTGCAGAAACAGACCTTTGTCTTGTACCGAACCTCGTGGAAAAACAATGGGTGGTACTAGTTCTATCAACGGTATGGCATATACTCGGGGAAATAAACGTGATTTCGATACCTGGGCTAGCTTAGGCAATCATAATTGGAGTTGGAATGATGTTTTGCCCTATTATAAGAAATCACAAAATTTGAGACACGTAAGCAAAATTTCATTTTTTAAACGGTAAATATTTATATAAATACTTTTATGATTTGGATTTTTTTTATTCTTAGGATGTCCCATTTATTAATAAAACAGATCATGGGTATAATGGTTATTTGAGTGTTGAACTTCACGAACCTGACGACAATATAGATGTTGTCATGAATGCATGGAAAAAGTTAGGTCTGTCAGAAGTTGATTATAATTCGGGCGATCAGCTTGGAACGTCAAAGTATCAGTATACTATTAAGAATGGGGTTCGGCAAAGCACTAACGCGGCCTTCCTAAGGCCCATTAGAGCCAAAAGACCTAATCTTACAGTACGACCGAATTCTCAAGTTTTAAGAGTTCGCATCAGTCCTCTAAGTAAAGAAACTTATGGAGTAGATTACGTAGAAGGTGGTAAGAGAAAGTTGGCATTTGCAAAAAAAGAAGTAATTCTGTCTGCTGGAGCTTTTGAGTCTCCAAAGCTATTAATGTTATCTGGAGTGGGTCCTGCTAGTGAAGTTAAAAAAACTTCCATGATACATATACAAGATCTACCTGTCGGAAAAAACTTTCAGGAACATTTATCAGTCAGTTACATGACCTTAAAGTATGATGATCCTTCAGTTTCTTTTGAGCGTCTTCAGGATAAAAAAGACGATGCTTTAAAGTGGCAAAAAGGTGAACCAAGTTCGTTAAGATCTGCGTGCTTATGGGGTACGGTGCAGTTTGTTCAAACTCGGAACGAAACGTTGCCAGGAACCCCAGATTTACAGTTTATTTATTTGAACAGAGTAGATGACTCGGAATATACTAATCAAAGTACCATGTATGGCGGATTCTCTTATTACAACAGGATCGCAGTTTACCCGATGATAGTAGCACCTAAAAGCAGAGGTTGGATTGAATTAAACTCAACAGATCCCATATATGGTAAGCCATTACTTTATCCTAACTTTATGTCACATCCGGATGACGTAAAAACTTTGAAGGAGGGTGTTCAGCTCTCCAGAAAATTAAATGAAACACTAAGTCTCATGGGAAGCCGTCTTAAAACTATGAAAACACCTGCACCTAAATGTGAAAAGTTTTTGAATGACGAAGATAAGTATGATGAGTGCATTGTTAGAAATTATTTTGCACCAGTATATCATCCTGGTGGTACGTGTAAAATGGGTCCAAGTACTGATCCAGAAGCAGTTGTAGACCCCAGATTGAGAGTACATGGCATTAAAAGATTAAGAGTCATCGATGCTTCCATTATGCCAATTTTGACCACTGGAAATACTAATGCACCCACCATTATGATTGCAGAAAAAGGTAGTGATATGATTAAAGAAGACTGGGCGTAAATTGTTCAGAAAAAAATTTTTGCTGAATGATTCTCATAAAAAATTTTCTGACAAAGTAAAATAGATAAATGTATTACTTTTTCATGAATACTGTATTTTATAACTTCAATTGAATAAAATGTTTATAAGATATTTTAGTCCATCAAGCATAAAAACTTATTCAGCAAACAATTGAGAGAACTCTAAGTGCTAGACGAAACTGTTACTGTAAATTATCAGTACCATGTGTTGTCTTTAATCAACTTTGTCTTTAACTTTTTAGCAAGTTTAGTTACCAACTATAAGATTGTGTTTTACACTAATTTTAGGTTCACAAATTAACTAGAAAGTGATTTTTTATCTTTGAGATTCCAGAAACAAGCCTAAATTTTTTAATATTTATCAGTAGTATAGTTTTTTATCATAAAGAAGTGAAAGGTGAGAATTAATATAATAGTTCAAGTATTTAACCATGCTTATACGTATACAAACATATTTCAAAGAGCAGAAGAAACCCTGATTACTTTAATTTTTTGATAATCAATGTCAGTGCTAGTAATAAACGATTACACATAATCAATTTTTTTAATTTGTTTACAAAGTATTTTGTTGTTATTAAAAAATGGATGATTGATGTATTGAATTTTGGCTAAATAAATGCTCGTCAATCGAAGTTTGAAACTAAAGTTTCATTTTTCTCTTAAAATTTTGATTAGATAAGACTTATCAGCTACAAAATATGTGTGCAAACATTGCATGATTATTTTTTCATGAAAAAAAATTTTACGATAAAAAATATCAAAACTGTTTTATATGTTAACACATTTTATTTGTGGGTTAAAAAGATATTTTTCGAGAGTAAAACATAGCAGCGTAAGAAAACTTACAACAGCTAAAAAGCTCTTTTAAATATGTCATTCTTTTAAATAATCTCAAATTCTACGGAATCGGTAAAACGATAGTGAAAATCTTATGGACTTGAGGCACGACGATTATTACATTTTTCTTTCAAGACGAGAAGGAACTAAGGCAACGACGCCTAATGTAACTAGTACCTTTTTTTAATATTGTTTTTTATATCGTTTATCGTGGTAAAATTAATAAAAAATATGTCTTGAAAGTTTATGACGTTAAAGTTGGTGAGTCATGGCTCATTTCAGAGAACAAAGTTATACAAACAAAAATATCTTTTAACCAATGTAATTTTCAGTCAACATAAAACAAACTTAAAAAATACTGCAAATAAGAAGATAAAATTTGGTCGATATGATGTGTACAATCTATAGGATTTTCCATTGTAGGTATGCATGCTCAATTTATAACAAAACTCGATGCCAAAACTTTTGTGAGCTGACATTTTTACCACTCACAACTTATTTGCCGATGATATGCAGTTTAAAAAGAGTATATATAAAGAAACGTAGGGTGGATATTATATATTCTGTTCCATACTAATTTGCACTATGTATTATTACAAATGAAAACTGGTCCATATTAGTTGGAGATAATGGATCTGTTATTTGTGTAAGTTTGAGTACGAGTGAAAGTTTTAACAAAAAAATGTTAAGAAGTTCTGATGAAGCTTAAATAATTGATTTATTTTATTTTTGATAGAAACTTTAAATGTACCAATAGAAATTTTTTTCAAATTATCTTCGTATGTGGATGATGATTAAATAAATTATGAAACAACATAAAAAATAGCTCTGAAGTAAAAGAAAGTAATCAAACTGATAATAAGCAGTCGTATAAAGTTCATATTTCGCTGATATTTTACTGACCCCGAGAGAGATGCGAAAGCCGACAACAGTATGTGTTGGAATACATTTTTAATGTGCCCGTTTCTTGCACTATAAGCTATCATCTCTCCAACCACTATCCTGGTCTCTTAGCACAGGTAGCCTTAACATTATTTGTGAGTTCACTATACTTGAACGAGAGAGCAGTTTTAGCTGTGAGTTAAAACGAAATAAGAGCGAAGAAAATATTTTTCAAATTCACTAGGATTATCTAGAGAGTGGATTGACATAAACTACAACACACAAATCCTCTAAGACAGTATCTGGCAGATGCTCTTGGAGAATTTGATATTTTATATATTACTACGATGCAATTTTTTTTTCAGTTGATAGCGTACAGACAAATGGGTATAAAAATTTAAATGTTTTTTTACTTGGACATGAAATTACAGATGTACGAATAAATTCTGGAACTTTCTGTATTTATACATCAAGTAATAATATTACAGTTACAAATAGTGTTTTAAACATGTATAATTATTAAATGTACCAGACTAGAGAGCTATCAGTCATGAATTCATGACAAGATATTACGTATCAATATCTCCATGGTTTGTGACTTTGATTTGTACATAGAAAATTATATGTACCAGTGTTACATATATGATTACCTTTGCAACGCTATTGAATTTATATTTGACTAAAATTGTTGATTTTTTTTATCATTCAATTGTTTAATGTTATTAAATTAGCATTGAAGACAGAATTTTCAATTGTTGACACATTGGGTGGTTTTTCTCATAAAGAATAATACATGCAATTGTTGCTGTTACTTGATAAGACTTGTATAAATTTATGCAGATATTTATAAAGTTATGCATTTGATCATCCTTTCAACTCATCCATCCACGACCACTGATTGTTATAATACATAAACACCATCGTATAAGCAAGACAAATACATGGTTGTATTTGACATGTATACGATTCTCTGCGTGCTGAAAAGAGACGATTGTGTGCATGTGTCCAACAGGAGAGTAGTACGGGTGCTGCATTTGTTTCATTGTGCTTTAGCTCATGCACGTGGAAAACCCGATCTTAATTAAATGGTTTTACTCAGTGTTTGTCTTTAGCTACGTACTCATTGTAACATTTGGCCAACGAGAAGGCAAGAGAGATGGAATTACGAAAGAGAGGCAGATGAGAGGAACACGGACAACTTTTATTTTCTCTCTTTGTAGTTAATGTTTCATTATGTGAATGAAACCTTGTAATCGATATGTTTCATTTGTAAATAAAAAATTTAAGTTTGTATCAAACATTTGTGAATAAAAAAGTTGCCATTTCCTAGACTCTGAAATAAAAATAAGAAAAAAAACGACAAAAAAAATAGCTTTTAAAAAAAATATTTTTTTTGTCATATAATGATAGATCGTAGTTTCTACGAATTTTATTCTGTCGTATTAGCATTTTTAAGTTATTTTTAAAAAAGTACAAAGTTTAAAACAAAAGTATATAACCAGTAAATTTTTCTTACAATTCATGACACCATGTCCTACGTGCATACCCGTGCAGAAAATCTTTTATTGACTTATGTTAAAAAAAATTTATGACATTAATAATCTTGTTGCCAGTAATGAAATCCAATTTGATTGTTTTATACTGCATTAAAAAGTAACTGTCACGATTCATACACTCACGGATTGTAGTGATCTTTTTTATTTTTAGGGACTTCAATTTTATCCATGGGTTGTATTTAAACTATTCCATTAAACACTAAGATATTACACAAACTGGCAGTAAAAGTTTCACATTTTGTGAGTAAAAGTTGAAAATGCTCTAGTATCATACAGATGGGCTAAGTTTCTGCAGTGCAGTCATTCAATTTCAAGTTAAGACGTCGCCGTTCGCTTGGTTCTATCTCCTTGTACGTTATACTGTAAGCGCTCACTTGTGCCTGATGAATGACAACAAACTATACAAGCCTGTAAACCGTGAAGCTTGTGCATTGTAACGCATAGATGTGTTGAATTAAAGTGATTATCTAAGCGATATTTATATCAAAGTGAATTTTTGATGACAGAAAATAGTTTATAAAAGTTAGACGACTGAAGAATTAAAAAAGTTAATCCCACATTGATAAGCAAATAAGATGAGAAGAAAACAGTGCATTCATGTTGACAGGGTTGGATATAGGCAATACATAAATAGAAGGAAGGAATCCATATAAAGTACTAAGGGTTTTTTCATTTTTATTCCAGAAGGGACTATAACTCGAGTAGATTACTCTCCTTTATACTCAAGCCGAGTCGACTTGAATCTTTTTATTTTACGCAAAAGCCAGAAACTCATCACAAAAAGTCGATAAATCGATTGCAATGTTCTTTAAATTCACTAGAAGAGCATGTGTGTGGGGTGAAGTTGTATCACTATATGCAAACAGTAAAATTACACTTCAAGAAATTAGCTCACGCATCGTAAAACACAATACGTACACTTTCGCACCAGCCACACCAAAATCCAGTAAGCTTGTGGCCTTACTCTCCTATGCAAGACCTATACAAAGACCCCCGGGGATCTCTAACGTAAGTCGGTGGGTAGTGCATAATAAGGTGAAGGTATTGGCGATATCTAAAGCCACGGCTACCGCCAAAGCTATCGTAAACACAACCCCATGAGCACTTTTTTTAGTTTACACGGCAGGAGCTGAGCAAATGGTCGCATTGGGAATTGAGGCTCTGCGCAAACTTCCAAACTTTTTATCGCACTGCGTAAGGAAATTTCTAAGTTGCGAGCAGTTTGGGTATTATACAGCTTCTAGACTGAAAAAGATTCATCGGTAGAATCTGATTTTTCTGTATGGAAAAAAGTAGGATTAAATTTTAATCTCCGACTCGTTCTACGTATTTAGCTGCAAAGAAATTCAAAATAGAACGTATCACACGAAAAAGCATCTATGATTAACAGAGTGACAAAATTGGAAAATAGCCGTGCGAGCCGATAAATCGTGATATAGTCGGCAGATTATGAGAAGTCGTAAGCTAAAGTTATATCGGAAGTCGATACAGCCGCCAAACTGCACCAACAGTACCACAAAGCTCTTCCCACACTACGAGGCATTTATTGCCTCGCACGTGCACGTGTGGTAGGTATAGGTATCTTAATACAACTTTGTCGTATCGTAATTAAAGTCGCTCATACGCCTGAAAATTGTAACACTGATGTTTGAATTCTCACAGCTTTCTGCTTTTACCTTTGAACCCTCAAAGTTATTTTTACTCT